CAGATCTCCTAGTATACATATATTCAATAGTTTTCTCCGAAGACACAAAGGGTATAAATATAATACTTATTTTAATGAAAGCAAAGATTGATTTTAATGAAAACAAACGTGCATGTCTCCAGAATCAATACTAAGGAACAGCTGTAGAATTAAATCTGAACCAGTTTAACAAATGCACCATCTTCTCATAGTCTTTTTCACCTGAAACATGTATAATATGTCTTTCCTGCCACAGTTCCTAGCAGTCTGCTGCATTTGTTTAAGTCGCATACAGGAGATCTCCTTCCTGGAGGAAAGGCAGGTGTGCAGTTACCACAACAAAATTAGCAGCACGCTGTGGCTTGTAGTCTGGGCTAGACTTAAGCACATTTTTTCAAGTGGAAAAGAAAATATGTTGTTACTAGATTATACAGTATTTACATAACTGAGGCAATTATTGCACTGATGATATTTAATTACCTTTAATACCACAAATAATTTTCAGCTGCAAAGTATTAAACTCGTTTATCTGTGATAGTAATAAACCAGCCATCAATCAGAACCAACTCTGATTAGTGTAAACTTACGATTTTTACAGTTTGAAATAACACCTACAAAATAATATCCATTTTGAATATGAAGCCCAAGTAAAATAACACTGCATACTGCTTGAGCTAGATGTTAGAAGCTCTCTTCCTGTAGGGGAAGTAGCACTTAAGCCAAGTACTTCAGCATCATTAAACAGGCCTGATATCTCATGAACTATGGAGGCGGTTTGTGGCAGTGTTTGGGGTTTTGCTTGGTTTTGTTTGGTTTGTTGCTGTGATTTTGTTTTGGGGGGTGGTGATGGTTGTTTTTGTGTTTTATTTTTTCTTGTGTTTTTATCTTTCCTTCCTCCCTGTCCCTTTTTTACACTAGTAGTTATGGGAGTAGGCAGGTGGAGAGAGCCTGACTTGCAATACACAATATACACATCAAAAAGCTCGATCCACAATGTGTAGTCCTTACCCAAACATTACTTGACCAGTGAAAGAATCCAAGAGACAGTACTTTAGCAGACTCCTAAAGCTGAGGGATAGCATCTATAAGCATTTTAACTTTCTCATCCACACTTTTAATTTAGTTGCAGCATTTTAATTCAACAAGCTACTGCTAAATCCGAGGCTATGCACTTACAGCAAGACCTACAGTACTGATTCAGGAAAACGTTAAAATTAACATAGGGTAAATTAAAGAATTGTAAAATCTGGTATAGAATTGCAGAGTTTGAATAGGTTTTAATCAGGGAGGAATGGCAATAGAACAATTACAGATCCTCAATTTATTAAAAGACAGGAAGCATTCACAACAGTGCTGACATTTAAATTATTATGGATGGAAATTAGAGTGCTCGGAGATGCTTCCAACACTTTTACCATCAGTAATTATACAGTGTCTCCATGTTGCTGAAGGCCCCCGTTACTCCGTGGCGCTCTGTTGCCTGGCCCCCAAGATCTGAAGGGAGAGCAGCTCTCGAAGAAGCAGCTAACACGGGTCGTGCACAGCCCGGAGCGGGGAGACCCGTCTGGCCGTCCCTCCTGCTGCCGGCAGCTGCGCATAGGCCACGCTGAGGGCGGCACCCGCAGGCGAGGGAGAGTCACGCCGCCCCCGCCAGGAGAACACAGACACCGGGGACCTGTGACCGGCGGAGCCGCAGCTCCCCTCGGAGGGCATGGGAACGTGTGCCAAAAATAACTTTAAATTCCCTCGAGGGAAGAAGCCGCCAGGAACCGGATGGCGTTTTAAGCTCCCACCTATTGTACCCCTGTACCCTTGCGGCTCCCCACATGATCTATCCGTTAAACCAACAAACAAAAAACGCACCAAAACTCCACAATAAGCTAAAACGTAATTTATTCTCAGATAGAGAAGTCACAAGGATATAGCAGCAACAGAGGAAAAGTCTCCTCAGCTGTTAAGAAGAGACCACCTCAGTGTTCAGCTTTTAATAAGCTGCCTGGCACTGACACCACTGAAAGCAGTCACCTGCTTTCCCACAGAAAGAACAGAATAATATTAAACTCACTTAGAAAAGAATGCTAGCTAGAAGAGTATGCAAAATCATTCAAGATTTTTGGAATAAGCCAAGCACCTAAGTAAGCCACCATCCACGCATGGAGCTGGCCCGGAGCATGCATGGGGAGCTTCCTCACACAGGGGCACACCTATGTTTGTGGGTAGGTAGCCAGAAAATTAGATGCCTTAGAAGCTTCTCTGCTTGATATTCCCCACAAGAGGGCCCCTCTCATTGCAGGAATCACTGAAAAGCTTGTTAGCACTACAAGATGCTCAAGGAGCTGTGATTAAAAAATTCTAACTGGTGTTAGTGTACCCCCTTAGCACTGCACCCCTTTTGCTATGTGTACATTTATGAGCAGCAGAGTAAAAAAAAAAACACCTCACCATGGTAATGAAACCACTCACCTGGAAAAAGCTAGTTAAGTGCAGCAGACCACCTACCCAGCAACAGAGGGATCTACTCCTTGTAACATCTCTCTGCAAAGTCCATGGTGCTGTTAAAGCTTTCCCCACCATCAGATTTGGAAGTTTGTATATCTAGCCACAGGAGGGAGGAAGAAAATACCAAACACACATCACAGCATACAAACAGCTATTTAGGTGGTTTGTTTTGCCTTTTAAACAGGAACAATAGGTCAACCAGTAGGTGATTTCACCAAACCAGGATGGGAGGTTGAGCTTCCTGAGGAGCTGGATCCAGACACCGGCATTTCACTTGCAAAGCAGACCACAGCTGAAGCCATCCACCTGGCCCTCCCTGGGCACACACATCTGACGGCTAACAGGCCAAACAGCCAAGGAGCAACTCCCTATCATGCTAAGAGGGTGTTCCCGTTTATGAACACCTGGAAAGCCCCTCCTGTGGTAAGTCAGAAGAACCTCAACAGACAACAAAGAGCTTCACAGTAGAAGTTTAACTCTGGCACTTCACACACGAGGAAGTTCTGAATGAACTTTGACAGCACAAAACAATTTAAACTCAAAATACTCAACAAGTCATGCAAGCAGATCCACCTCCTGTCTACAAATATGTCATAATGAGTAAAAGTTCAACTCAGTAACCTAAGATGAAACCACAAACCAAACTCAGGATAAATCTAGGCAGGTAAGTGCTTTTAAAGCCATGCATATGTAAAATATGTATCACTTGGCAGTTAGCCTCCAGTTTTGGTAAATTATGAAGAAAAGATTGATAATATGGATTTAAAAAAACTAAATCACATCAACAATGTAAGGTAGAGAACTTGAAAAGAGTTTTTTAAACATGGCTTTAAAAATATACACTGACAGCCGGTTTTTCCCATGGAAAGTGAAGTTAATGTAGTTACAAACTCTGAAACACACAGGATGACAGATGCACATCCTTTCCAAAGCTGAACTTTAGAGTGACAGGTGGGAGTGATTTGTAAACAGGCTTTCTAAGCAAAAGCACTGCATTTCTAACTTTATTCAAGACAGCATGTGGATGGGTCTGCCCACAGTTGTTGCTTGTGACTGCATGCCCACGTTATACAAAATATGTATTAACAATATTATACTATGGAAACAGTTAATAAACCAACAGCCATATGGCCTATTCATATGTTGTTTTGATGAAAAAAAAACTCACTCTGAGTCAGAGATAAACGTGGATGTATGTTAGAGAAGTGAAGGACTGGCAAAGGGCAAGTGGAATTGTACTGTGGAAGGAGGAAAAAGAGGAAAAAAGGAAAGGACCAAAAGCTGGAGTTAGACTTCACAGTCCAGCAAGCAGCACTCCCAGTGAACATGCCAGAAAGGCAACCCCTCCGCTGCCTGCAAAAGCAAACAGCATCTGTGCCTACAACAGTGATGCAGCACTCGATCTGCGTGTGTAAACTAAACTCTCCTCCCTTCACCCTTCTTGCCCTTAGGACAAAATGAAAGCATCCGAAAGCGCTCTTTCAACATACACCCTTCCTTAGAAGGGATGCAAAGACAACTCACTGCTTTCTTTATAGGAAATACGGGCTTGCAGAAACCCGTCGCTTTGAAGGGGCGACCAAACTACCGGGCTCCCGCAGACCGGCCGGCCCTCCCGCAGGGCGCAGGCCACGGGCCTGGCTCAGGGAGGCGGCGCGGCTGCGGGACACCTTAACTCCACCGAGACATCCCTTCTCCCACGCCAGGGGAGGGCCTACCTCGTCCCCGTTAGCTGGATGCCGTAATTATTCACCTTAACTGCGGGATTCCCGCTACCTCGAGTCCCTTTCGAAACGCGCTGCGCAGCACACCCCTGACTCCGCGCCCCCGCACCCCTGTGTTAGCCCCGCCGCAGTGTCGGCGCCCCACAGCACACCGAGCCCTAAACGCCAAAGGTTTCAGAACAACAAGCGGTGTCCCCGGCACGACGGCGCGCACCCACTGCGGTAGTGAGCCTCGCCGTTACGGCGGGGCTCGAGTCGGACGCGCCGCCCCCACCGGCGCAGCACGGCTCGGCTCGAGTCCGGCCGCAGCGTCCGTGTGTGGGGCCGCCCCTGCCGCTGACCCCGGGCCGGGTCTGCGGCCGGCGGTTCCGGGCGAGGGACACCGGTGAAAAAGAGGAAAGCCTCTCGCAGCCCGGCGCACGGCGGGCACGGCCAGCCACGGGGCGCCCCCGCACCTGTTGCGGGAGAAGGAGGCCGCCGCCGCAGGGCCCCGCCGCGCTCCCTCGCCTCGCGGCCGAGTACACAGAGGCGCCCGCAGCCGCCGCGCTCCGTCACCGCCCACCACCCCAACCGCAAGCAATGCCTCACCTGCGGGGCGCCGGCTTCTGCCCGCGGCCTCCGCCATGTCTTCTCTGAGCCGAGTGCGGCTGCTCCGCCCCGCGGATCCGCGGCCTCGGGCAGGTGAGAACGCCACGTCCCCGCTCCCCCGCTGGCGGCCGCAGGAGCAGGTGAAGGCGGGCCCGGCGCCCACGGGCGGATAGCGGCCGCCCCTCGCGGGTACGAGCCCCCGCCGCCCACAGCGGCTGTTAGGAGGCGGCGGGCGAGCCCGCAAAGCTCCAGACGAGCTGGCGCAGCCGTGCTGCTCCAGGTGTGTTTGCTGTTCCTCGGAGGGGCTCCCGCTGCACTGGCACAGCTCATAAGGTACAGTAGGTTTGGGGATGATTACCAACTCGCAGCTGGTGTCTCAACAGTAGGTGGGAGGAGTGGTGGGCAACTCACAAGCCTCAGCGGTGCAGTGCATCATTTGGAAGAGAACTGTACTGCTGCAGTCTCGTTGTTGTAGCACGTGCTTTTAAACAGCCGGGTACGTATCCCAAGCTGCCTGCACTCTTCACAGAGCGGTCCTTTCTGTGAAGTGTGACCTGAACTTGCCCTGTACTGATTTCCAGGGCATAAGTGTTGCTCAGAAAAGTGTTCCAGGCCTGGATTAAAGCATCATTTCATTTTGCATCTGCTTGCTGGTAGTACCAATCATCAGAACTATAGCTGAAGGGTGAAGGAGTTGATACACAGCTGCAGCATGCATTATGCATTCAGCCAAGCAAATAGCGAGATGCAACTCTCTTGGCCCAGCACACTGGACAAAGCAAGCTTCTGTCACTGTGCAGTACATCCTCCTTTCACAAGACAGCCAAGGTCAGGGAGCGAGACTTTCTAAGGGAAAGAAGGATAAATGTTTTGGTGCACCAGGAGCCACTTGTGCTCTAAAACAGAAAGAACTGGGGCTTAGGTGGTAAATATGCCCTGTGGTTTGTGGGCAGGAATGTGTATGTGTGGTGCAAGAACAGGCTGGGCTCTACACTAAAAGGTTCAAGAGACTCCAAAATCAGAACTGCCTTAGCCAAGTTTTCACTTCTGCATTCTGCCTGGCTCTCTCTTAATGGAGGTAGAAAGGTGTCTGTCTCCCAGTCAGCCTGAGCCTTGGATTACTACAGCACTACTCAAGAGGCTATCCATGCTCAAAGCGAATGGTATTCCCTACAGTCAAAAGGTTGCCTTCAGCAATATTTTGCACTAAACCATAATCTCAAATCCCTCACTTGTGGCCCCTGTAAGTACCTATCAATATATTCAGGAAGCCAAGGCTGAACAGATCCCAGCTGAGTTGCTTGATGCATTCTATCTCAAAACCTTTCTTCATGTTCTGTCAGAGGATATAAAAAGTAATGTGTCTGGCACAATGTATATGAAATGGCCTAAAGTGGAGAGATTACATAAGCTTTTGTGCATAGATCTAGTACAGAGATGGATAAACTGTGCTGTTCAGGGAACCGTATTCAGACCAGTTCACAATCTTTCCAGTAACATAATGTGGCCCAGCCTAGGCATGGATCAGACTCCATACAGTCTTACCATGGAGCATACAGAACTGATTGCTGAGCAGCTCTGCAGAACCCACCTTGCGTCTGGAGAAGCCAGCAGCAAGCTACAAGAGTTAATTCTGAGCTGGTGCCAAGCTAGGTCTGATGGAGACATTAAATTGATTCCTCGATTACACTCCTTTCTCTTACAAATAGCTGGTGTTACTGACTCATAGAGAACAGGCTGCATGCTTTCAAAGAATCAACACACACATAAAACAATGCAATTACATTCTGGTCTATCCCTGCTATATGAAGTAAGAGGGTTTCAAACTGTAGTCATGGACATACAAGAGATCATGTTTTACACAAAAATCAAATTAGAGGAGTTGATTGTCCAAGGATCTTTTCCACGGGTGAGTTTTACAAGTCATCCTCCACTACTGGTCTTTCAAGTGCTGAAAAACTACCTTGAAAATGTAGTTTTCTACTGTAATAGCAGCTGAAATTGTTAAAATGGTAACTATGTTTCTCCTGAAGCAGAGTTTACATTTTTAGAATGAGTTGAATCTAGCTGTGCCCAAACATCAGTGGAACCATCTTCAGGGTAAAAATATCTGACTAAATTTATTTAATTTGCTGTTCTTTGTTTAGCTTATTCATTTTATACATAATTGTTGGGGTTTAGGCAGCAAAAATTACTACATGCATGTTAAAACAACATGTTTGTTTTTAGAAAAAATATTTAATTTTGTTTGAAAATACTTGCTAGACCAGAAAAATTCAGGGCATAAGCTCTTCACTGATTACCAAGGCTTATGAAGAAAGAAGGAAGTTCTTGTCCAGGCAAGTCTTACTCACAGTGGAAGTTTTTACAGCTGTCCCATAGGATCTGATGATACCCCGTGCTGGAATGCTGGATGGACAGGGAATATCCACCATCCTTTTTCATTATACGTGAGGAAAACATATTGCATAAACAAAAGCAGAAGAAAGCAACAGGCCACAACGACTGTTTAATGCACGGAGGCAGGACATTAATTTCTCAAGTCAAGCGGATCACTCAGAGAAGAATTTTGTTCAGCTGTGGATTGTGAGTGAAGACTGAACAGGAAAGTGTTCAATACCATGATTATCAAACTCCAAACTTTAACACGTGTCAGAAAGGTTCCCTTGATAATCAAATATGACTTTTTCCTCTTTTTTTTTATTCCAGTATTTTCCAGTTCTACACCTTTATTATTTTAAAGTAAAAAAGAAAAAAAAATAGGAAAAAGTAAGTCTTGGGTTCTTTTTATTTTCAACTGTGTATGTCAGAGATAGCTTTAGAACAAGCTAACATTACTGTGGTTCAGGTGTATACAACTGGTACAGTTCAGTAGTACATAAACAGCTCTAAAACAAATGCACCATAGAACTTAAATTACCAAAAATAAACAATATTAAACTATGTAGGGTAGTAGGTAAAAACAATTACCATTAGGTCTTGCACACTAAAAGAAAAATATCTAATTATGATTGAAAATACTAAGTTCTACTACACATCATAGCGATATATTACAAAGAAACAGAAACTTGAGAAGTTGTTGTCACATTTTGGTTTTGTTCCAGTGATCTATAGTCACATGAAATCTTACATCAGTTTTTCATGAAATTAACATCTGGTTACTTTAACTACAATATTTCATAAGTTTATTATGGTGGGGTTTCTTTATTTATTTTAGTTTTTGAAAAACTTGCGTGTAAAAACATTTGAAGTAAAATAATGTTGTTGGCTGTTTACAGATTCCTTATGGATTATAGGAGTAAAAACAGTCAGGAAGCTGCAGTGTTTTTAACATCGGTAAACAAATACTGGATTAAAGTGCAATAGTCCTTCTGACAGCACACCTGCCCTGTGCTGAAAGGAAACCTTCTCCTTTCTGCAGAGAAGTGAAGAAAAATGTCAGTGTCAGGCATGTTTTCCTCGAAAGTCCGTGATAGCCTTCCAGAGTGTGCATAGCATTCCTCCTCTGTAAAGGAAAATCATAAAGATGCCCAGGAACAAAGATATTCTCTAGCCCGGAAGCATTCCAGTTTAGCTGCCTTCTGATTTTGACCAATTATATTCAAAGGGAAGGTCGATCAAAGGTAAAATTCAACATGCAATACTCAAATAGAGAACAGAGTCCTTTTCTGATTATAGTACTGGGCAATCTTTCCGCTTGTCAGATGCCCACTTTCTGGAATTCAGACTTCTGGGCCAAAGGTCCTGCATAACCCACAGCAGCTTTCCAACATTATGAAAGAATCTCAGCACTTGCCATATTTTTTAATTATTATTTTTTTTAGTTGTTTATTTTTAAACTGACTGAGCCCACACAGAGTGTTTGATAACTTCTATTGTTTCTACTTAAACTTGGTTCTACAGTGACCCACACACCTGGCATGATTAGGTGAAGTCTAGTGTTAGTTGCAGTCCATGAGTAGTATTTCTGAAGTTTGAAGATGAACTACAGAAGTTTTGTTCTCTCTACTTTTTTAAATAAAAGACTCTGTTGGGTTTTCCTGTCTCTCCAGGTGTAAGGTAAAAGCTTTACTTTAAAATTCTCCCTTTGCTTTCCTTGAACAGAAAAGCTTATTTTAAACTAATTTAAACAGTATCAGCTGTTATTGGGACAGCATCAGTATACAAAGACATACTGGAAAGTGTTCCTTATGTTAAATGAACACTGCACAATACAACAAATAGAGACTTAGTTTCACTTATTTTCTCTTATAACAAAATGCAGCTCCTGCGCAGCACAGTTCATTTAACTGTGAAGACTTACCTCAGTCTCAAACATTTCAGATCATCTCGTGTAACATAGCAGAGAACGTCCATTAATGTGTAGTCTTCAGCCAAGAACTACAAAAAGTTTAAATGAACAATTTGTTAGAATTATAATCTAACTTTCTATGCTTTATATACCTGCCCTTAAAATTAGAAGCTTAGAAGAAACATAAAATTGGGCCAAAATGTGGCATATGTAGCAGATTCATCCATATTATTTCTAGAAATACATTGAAACTACTTATTTTTTGTATTGTATACATTGGCATAACAGGCAAAACTTGTCATGCTTTTACAGGTACTTAAAAAGTTTTGTCAGCTGGCATTTCTGCTGTTAACACTGCTACCTCAGTGTTATAGACTTGAATGAGCACCAACTACAGCGTAATTAATACCATGTTTCACCCATTAGGAAATTGAAAACAACAGTTAAGACCTACCAAAAGTGGCCATCTAAATTTGATATACTTGAGTTTCAAGGAACCTTTGATCTGATCTGTAGGAGTGATAACTACATGCAGGTTTTCTTAAGTCAGCCAAAATTCTGCTCAACACCTCTAAGATTATATAATTTGTTGTAGAGCAGACCAATCTACTTCAGGAAATCTCATCTTAACACAGTTAGCTGAGGGTGAACATGTACCCTATGTCTAGGGTATAATCAGCAGGAACTGCTGCAATGTGTAAAAACGCTGAAAAATTATGAACCAAGGAAATTCTTCACTGTGAAGGTGGTGAGTCACTGGAACAGGTTGCCCAGAGAAGCTGTGGATACACTATCTCTGGAAGTGTTCATGGCCGGGTGGATGGGGCTTTGAGCTTTCCCTACAGCTCTAGATCTGGACTCTGCAACGCCATGTCAAGTTCAGACCACCACCACAGATAGCCTTCTATGGCTGTAGAAAGTTAGGGCAGCACCCATGTGCTACCCTTGGTCTGCAGAGCAAGTAGAAGAGGAAAACAACCAACCAACCCACCCACAGTCCTCTCCTCACTCTAATCTAGGGGTAGCAAAGAATGTAATCACA